AAAAAACCAAACTCACTGTTGGCGCTTTGGATCAGACTCATAGCGAGCCCTCCTTGGGTTTCCGAGCTGGTATTACTACATAAGTAGATTGCTCACTCTTCCTTCCAAGGAGTGGCTAGTGGGTTTGAACTACCAGCCTTTCTGGTTAGCAATCCAATGCCTTAGGCACCACCACCAGAAGAAAAACAGCTGAAAACATGGCCTCTCAAATGAGAATTAGCATCATTATCACCACTGTACAAAAACATATGTAAAAATGTGTTTTTTTTTTTTTTTTTATGGGGAAGGCTTTGATGAAATAATATCCTGATTCTGAACCACTGGAAAGTTATATATCATCATGTCCCAACCTATTAAACACATTAATTGTTAATGGTTAATATGTTAATAGTTCCTATGCCAAGAGAGAATTCCAAGGTCAAATAAACAAACTCTAAATCATAATCCCTCCTCTTTTATTTATTTATTTAAAGGTATTTGCAAGAAGAAATTGCTATGGATTGAGTTACAGCCCTCCAAAGTAAGTGTTAAAAATCCTAACCTCTATGTCTGTGCTTACATTCCCATTTGGGAATTATAAATTAAAGTCATCCACTTGTGGGATTTCTGTTATAGCTGTACTAGATAACTAAGACAATAATGAAACTTGTTTTAAACTATTTTATTCAAAATTTCTCAAGCTTTTTGGAACTGAGAACCCTGTTATCACAGCATTGTTACTAAAATGTTGTGGAACAGCATTATTCCTTAGATCCCAGTAAGGGAAATACTATCAGAGCGTCATAAATTGCTGGATTTGGAAGGGACCTTAGGGCTCGTTCATTCCTCACCAATGAAGGAATCCTCTCTATATCTTCACTGATAAGTGAAGCCCAATGTCTATTCAATCATCTCCTGAGGATGAATTTATTCCTACATAATGTGTTCATGACTCTGTTTGACAGCTTAATTTTTAGAAAAGTCTTCCTCTGACTGACTTCAACTCAGACGTAAAATCACTGCGTATATCTGATTTTGCCATCTCATCTGTACCACCCAGGTTACCAACTGTTATGGATTGAACTGAGTCTCCCTGAAAGAGATGTTGAAGTCCTAACCCCCGTACCTGTGAATGTGATCTTGATTGGAAATAGGGCATTTTGTTTTGTTTCAGCAGCTGTTATTAGTGAAATTAATGAGGTCATAACTGAGTAGGATGGGTCCTAATCCCTTCTGAGTGCTGTCTCATAAAAGGAGAGAACAGTCATGGAGACAGAGATACATTGAGGGAGGACACCATGTGAGGATTTGTCTCCAAGCCAAGGAGTGTCCAGAAAGCTGAAAGAGACCAGGAAAGAGCTCCTAGAGCTGACTAGAGAGAGATCATAGTGCTGCCAATGCCCTGAATTTGGACATCTAGACTCCAGAATGGTAAGAAATAAATTTCTGTTCTTTAAAGCCACCTACTTTATGTGTTTTGTTAGGGCATCTCTAGTTAAGACACTAACTTAGTCTTCCAAAGACTAAAACAAACCAAAAAACCTTATCTCTTCCCCTTGAGAGTCATCTAAACTGTGAATGCCATTGTCTTCCCTTCAACTCTTAAAAGCTTCTTAGGAAAAACTAGGTTAAACACACTTAGCTCTTACAAGTATTTCTCCTAGATTTTTACCAAATGTTCACCACTGTTTGAGCTCTAGATTGGTGGGCTGTCATATAAGATTTGGCATGAGCTCTGGTGGCTTAGTGCCATTTGACTGCTAACCACAAGGCTGGCAGTTCAAATCCACCAGCCACTTCTCGGAAGAAGACTGGGCAATCTCCTTCTGTAGAGGTACCATCTCAGAAACACAAGGAGGGGTCACTATGAGTCAAACTGACTCTACGGCAATGAGTAAATCATTTCAGATGTGGTTTAACTAGAGTGGGAGAGACCATCTCCCTCACAGACCTTTCATTGCAGGTTAAAATCCCATTAACTTGTATTTTTTTTTTTTTCCATTACCTTGTATTAAATTGTATTTTTTCCCTTGACTTATTATTGACCATCCAATTCAACCTTAATTCTATGCTTTTTCCACAGACAAAATATCAGCATTCTATACTTGGACATAAAAGCTGGTCCTTACAATTGCTCCCATGAACAACTTCCCTTTTTTGGATGTGACTCCCTGTTCCAGCCTATAAAGATTATCCTGTATTTTAATTCTGTCATTACACACATTATTCCCTCCCCCTACACCCCGTGTCCTGCCATATGAAATGTTAATAAGCTTCTGTGTTTATTCAAAGCACTGTTTAATATTTTGAATGATACAGGGTTAGGCACCAAGTCACAAGACTCTATCCTGGGTGACATTAAATTGTCACTCAGCAGGTCTGTCTCATGCAGTCTTCTAAGCAGTTCCAAATCTGCTCACTCTATTTTCATCTGGTCTGTATTTCCCATCCTGTCTATAAAAGCATGCTGGGGAATTTGGCTGAAATCTAAATAAAAATTTACAGCATTTCTTCTCACTTTGAAGACTAAGATGCACCTAACCCAAACCATGGTATTTTCAGTTGCGGCATATACATGTGAAAGCTGGACAATGAATAAGGAAGAAGACCGAAGAAGAGTTGATGCCTTTGAATTGTGGTGTTGGAGAATATTGAAAATACTATGGACTGCCAGAAGAATAAATAAATCTGTCCCGGAAGAAGTGCAGCAGGAATGCTCTTTAGAAGTTAGAATGGCCAGACTTCTCTCCCCTACTTTGGTCGTGTTGTCAGAAAGGACCATTCCTTGGAGAAGAATATCATGCTTGGTAAAAAGGGGGGAAGACCCTCAGTGGGATGGACTGACACAGGGGCTGCAACAATGGGCTCAAGCATAGCAAGGATTGTGAGGCTGGCCAGGACCAGGCAGTGTTTTGTTCTGTTGTAAATGGGGTCTCTATGAGTCAGAACAGACTCCATTAGCACCTAACAGTAACAAAGCATTTCTCCTTTAAAGTAATATTGCTAAAGTTTACACGAGAGTGTTAGGTGCTGACAAGTCTATTCCAACTCATATGAGTCGGCCAACTGGCACATAACAACAACAACAACAAGTGGCCCCATATGACAGAGAAGAACTGCCCCATAGGCTTTTCTAGGATGTAATCTTTATGCAAGCATATTGCCAGGTCTTTCTCCCACGGAGCAGCTAGGTGGGTTCGAACTTTCAACCATTCCTTAACCATCATTTTCTTAACTGGTTGGCATAGTGCCTAAGGCATTGGACTGCTAACCAGAAGGCTGGTGGTTCAAACTCACCAGCCACTCCTCAGAAGGAAAGCTGGGCAATCTACCTCTGTAGTGAAACTACCTCCGAAACCCAAGGAGGGGTCGCTATGAGTTGGATCTGACTTCACAGCAGTGAATTTGGTTTTGGTTTTTTAGTCATTGTGACACCAGGGTTCCTCTGCATGAGAAAAAGTAGATGATAATATATATATGATATATAGTGACTGAATTTTAACTGCTAGAAAACCAGTCTTAAAGAATATCTTTTGATGTATTAATCTCATTTTGGAAGGTCTCTGCCTTCAATCAATCAATATTTCTATTAATTTGTTTGATGAAGACATAGAAGGTATGCTATTTAAATCTTCAGTTGACAACAGGTCATCTTAACAACCACAGAAATAGTACCTTCAACCCAGCAATCCCACTTTGAGGATTCTATTTAAAAAATAAAATAAATTAGAAATGTAGTCAAAGATACATACTTAACAGATTTTCAGCAAGACACTATTTAAAATATTGGTTAATATTTTAACCATAGGGGTATGGTTAATTATAGGGGTATCGTTAATTAAATTATAGAGTATTTTGAGGCCATTAAAAAATCATGTAAGGAATTTTATTTTGTATAAAAAAAAGATGCCTAGAAAAATGAGAAAATATATATTAAAAAAGTAAACATATTTATCTTCAAATGTCAGAATTATAAGTGAGCTCACATTTATTTGTATTTCCTGTACTGCCTAAATTTTCTAAAATAACTATACATTAATTTTATAATTAAGAAAAAGCAAAATATTTTTAAAGTAAATGAAAACAAGTTTTTAAAGTTCCTGTAATCTGGGGATGCTTTAATTGGGATAAACTGAAGATCCTTATTTGTGTCTCATAAACCAAATAAGCATAGGAGTGGAGAGGTATGACTCCTGGATCTTGGAATCTTGGAAGAGAAATGAGGGCCATTGACTCAGTGTGAACCTGCTACAGAGAATGACCTTGGGATTTGTTAACAGAAGTATCTTGAAAAGAAAGTGGTCTTTCTTTGCTGGTTAATACACATGCAGATGCCTAACTTTTTGAACATGGTAGTAAATATTAAATATGTTGTTGTTGTTGGGTGTCATCAACTCGATTTCAACTCCGAGTGACCCCATGTGACATACTGGAATCGTCTCATAGGGTTTTCTAGGCTGTAATTGTTACAGAAGCACATTACCAGGTCTTTTCTCCGGAGCCACTAGGTGGTCTTGAACCACCAATCTTTCAGCCAGCAATTGAGTACTTACCCATTGCATGACCAGGGCTCCTTAAATATTAAATAGAATATGAGATACACACACACACACCAGCCCTAAATCCTAACAGTAACCCTAATGCTATATTCATATATATTTTTTCTTAAGCAAAACTAACGCTTTTTCCATCCCAGAAACAACCAGAAATTTAATTTCTTGAGAGAGTATAATAGAGGACTTCGACTTTTGGATTAAAGAGTAACAAGTACAACTGAGAAAAAGAGTATCAGACTAAAGCCTGGAGACTAGGTCAGAGTTTATGTTTTTAAAATTGAGGCCCTGTAACCCTTTCCCCCCTGCTCCCAAGCACAGGCAGGAGTTTAGAAGAGTACTCCCAGGAGAATCTGAGCAACTCAATAGAAAAGAACTAAAGTTATTGACAATGAAACAAAAAGTCAATTGTACATAGACAGCCAAACCCATGGATGGACTGAAACAAACACATCAAAAAGCACATACCTTTTCTCTAACCAGGAGAGCAGAACACTGCAAGGGGACACCCATCATCTTGTGTGGATTCCATGTCACAGAGTTGGCCCTAAGATAAACCAAATCATATAAGAGGGTGGCATCTCCTGCGAAGCTCAGACTACCGAGGCCCTGTGCACCTGCAGCAAAGCTGCTGGGTCCTATGGCACTTTTCTCAGATTCCAGGACAACACTAAATTTACAAAATATACAAAACCCAAAGTGGAAAATATCCATTTTTCAGGACTTTAAACCAGTTCATTCCACTTCAACTCCCTGCTGAGAATTTGCATTTCTGCCCCAGATACACTGAAACAGAATCTACATTTTTAACAAGAGCCCTAGGTGATTCTTATATATAAGAATGAGTGCCAAGCCCTGATGTTTTCTTTGTCCACAGAGACAGTAAATAAGAACAAAACAAAACAAGTTGCCAACAAGTCGATTTCTGACTCATGGTGATCCCATGTGTTTCAGAGTGGAACTGTACTCCACAGTGTTTTCGTAACTGTTACCTTTCAGAAACAGATTACCAGGCCTGTCTTCCAAGGTTGGTCTGCCAACCTTAAGTTAGTAGCTGAGTGAGTTAAGTTTGCACCACCCAGGGTCAAACAGCTCAGCGATGTAACATCATTACTGCTTTTTAAGAAGTGAGATGGCCATGGCCATATTCTCCAGATCGCCCGTGGATGCCTTCATTCTGTCTCCGTGGTAGATGGTAGAGCCCCTTAGATCCAAGGAAACATCCTGTCCAGTGTCCTGACTACATTCAATGATGGAGCAGAGCACCAGGCAGGTACAGGGAGCTGCATATACACACACTGTACCTCCCCTCCATGGGCCTCCTCTGTCCCTGCTTCTAACATTAGTTATAATAGCCTGGAGTATAGAGATCATACATTCCACTCCCTGATTTTGTTCTCGGCTCAATTTTTCCTCTTCTTATTTAATTGACTATCAAATTTCTCAAATGTGTTTTTATTTTTTTTTGTAGTAGCATCTACTTAGTCTCCAGCTTCGATTACTTCTTGAATCCAGAGTTATCTTTCCAAACCATAGGGGTTTTCAAATCTTTTTTGTCCCAAAACGACTGAGAAACATACTGCTCTCCCTTCAGTAACAATGGCTCACACAATAGTGATTCTCAGCTCAGAGATTTATGTTACCTGAAAAATCTGAACTATAGTCCTGGTCTAAACTCCTTTAATAATAATTATTATTGTTATTTTAATCTGGAGACAGCAATACAGTCTTAACTGACTCTTTGGCTCCATTTCATCCTTTACCAAGTCACTTCTGGCTGAACAGTGGACTTAGGCTGATGCTGATCCCACTGCTTGGGATGCTAGATCTTTGGGAAGAAACAAGAAGCTAGGAAAGATCTCATTCATCCATTTGATGAGTGGTGGGTGTCAGCCGGCCCGGCAGAGGACACTTGGTGGCTGGGGGACCTTTTATGAATGAATAAATAGTCCAGCTTATCTTCTGGTCTTTCTTGGCTCTGGCATTGGCTATTGGATATATTTAGGACTGAAAGGGGGTTAGGGAAGCAAAGGCAGTTCATGTCCACATGGCTGCAACTTCTGAAGAAAAGATGAAACAGTTTCATGAATGATAACAGAAATGTGGCATTGAAAAGCTTCTTCCAAGAAAATATTTCCTTTCTCTGTAGAATGACCCTAAAGTCAAGAATCTAGGACTCTAAGCAGTAGATTACAGTGGTTAAGTGAGGGGACCTCAGGAGCCAGAAAATCTGGGTTTGTATCTAAGTCCCTAGCTGTGTGACTTTACAAGTTACTTAACCTCTCTGTGTCTAGATTTCCTTTTTCCTGAAAGAAGAGCAATAAATAATTTGGGCAAAGCACATAGGACTGTGTCTGACACACAATAAGCATTAGATAGATTTGGCTCTTGTTAGATTTCAACTCTGTCATTTACTAGCTTTGTGACATTGTGCACGTATTATTCCCTGCCATCCTATACATTCTATAATATTCCATAGCTCTATATCTAATTATAGTAAAACTCAGGTTGGTCAGTAAGGAAACCTAAGGGCAGAAGGAAATAGCTGTCTTCCACTTATTTGACTGTGTGTGTCTGTTTGTGGTCTATTTGTCTTTTTAGAATAGAAGCCATTAAGGCCCACAACTACCTGTCACTGAATTCTCCATCTTGCTTCTCTCTTGAAGGGCTACCTTCTAAACACAGCAAAAAGATGCACAGAGTGATTTGATGAGATGGTCTTAATTCATTTGAGAAATACTGGCAAATTGTCAAAAACAGCCTCAGGTTCACTTTCAAAGTATTTTGTCATGGGAATCAGTCATGTGGCTTCTATAGTTGCAATAAGTTGGAGAGAAGTGAATTGCCCAGGGCTGTTTTGAAGACATATCTTTGTGCCCTTATTTGCAACTCAAACTCAGCATACCCAAGGAACTTGTTAGGCTGCCCATTCCTGATCCTTCCACATCTATTCTCTCAGTTCCTAGAGCCATTTTCCTTCAAGCATCCAGCCCTCCAAACTTTAGTGTCATCTTTGGTTCCATCTCCTCTTCCCAGTCTACTGACATTGTTCATCTCTTACTTGCCACACCTCCTATACCAGGACTTTCCTAATAGCTTCTCATTAGTACCTGGCTTCTATCTCCTCTCTAATCCAAAGTTATCTTTCCAAAATGCAGATAAGATAATACCACCTTTCTTCTCAGAACCCTGGTATGGCTCTTACAGTAGTGGTATGCAGTATTTTCACCCCAATACATCTGAGTAATCTACTGCTCTCCCGTCTGTAAGAGTAGCTTACACAGCAGCATTCTCTGCATAGGGATTTGTGTGACATAAACTAGTGCTACCCCCCCCCACCCCGGCCCCAGGTGATTCTGATTTGGCTGTGCACACAGGCCCTCAGCTGACGCTCACTGGACAGGACTTGGACTTCCTAGTGCCATCTCCCACTGCCACCATTGTCTCTTGCATCCATCTCTTTTTCCAGTTCTGTAGGTTTATACCAAGTCTAAACTTTCTCCAAGGACCTGTGAGCTTCCAAACTTCAGTGCCTCTGCTCATGAAGCTCTTTCCATTTGAATGCCTTTCTTCCATTTTCTGTCAGATGAAGACTATCCATCTGTGTTAGTCAAGGTTATGTGTCAACTTGGCTGGGCCTGGTTCTGAGTGGCTGGGCAGCTGGTGGTACTTATTCCCCATGATGAGACTGGCAATCAATTCCATGGTAGACTCTGCCACCAGCAGCTGAGTAGCTGCTGTAAGGATGTGGTCTGCTTCCTATATATAAGGAGAAGCTTTGGGAATGGTCTCAGCTTTTGGCCTATAGCCTAGTCATTATCCAGCAGCCTGCCATGTTGTCTGCAGATCTTGGGATTCTTAATGGACTTGAATCAATGGCCTGCCATGTGGTTTGGTAATATCAGGACTGTGCCTTTTTTACTTGTCAACCTTGGGCTTGTCAGCCTCAGCAGCCAGCAGCACCTGAGTGAAGAAAGCCTCCAGCTTCAGTGGGCCAAGAGCAAAAGGCAGAGCTGAAGCCCAAGGTCAAGGGGCTTTCATCCAGCCCCTAGAGCCTGTCTCTTTGAACTCCAACTTCTAGCCTCCAAAACTGTAAGAGAATAAACTCCTGTTTGTTAAAGTCATCCATGTGTGGTATATTCCTGTCATAGTGGCACTAGGTAACCAAAACACCATCCATTGATATACTATGCGCCAATGCTGACTTCCTTGATGAAAACCGCTTTTAATCAGCCTGTTTAGACAGGCTAATGCCTTCCTGTGTGCCCTCCAGTCTTCTCAATTCTGTTTCCTCAGCATTTACTTTATCCTGTCTTGAATTTTGACCCATTATCGTTTGCCGTCCCTACCACAGTCCGAACTCCTTGAAGACAGGCTTCATAGCACCTCAGTCTTTGTGCCCTCCCTTGCCTGTAACAGATGTTCAGTAACTACTGGATTGAATTTCTGACCTCCTGGCTCTCAGGGTAGGAGTGAGGGCAAATTGGTACAGCAGAAGCTGCTCCAGAACCTTCAGCTGGACTATGAAGCTTGAGAGCAGGACATAGCAGTGGATTATTAGAGAGAAGCAGTAGTCTGCTATCTCTAGTTGCCAAGTGGATTCAAACTCATGGTGGCCCCATACATGCAGAACTGCTCCACAGGTTTTCAAGGTTATGATCTTTCAGAAGCAGATCACCAGACCTGTATTCCAAAGCACCTCTGGGTGGGTTTGAACCATCAACCTTTTGGCTAGTGGGTGAGCTAGTACTTGAGTGCTTAATTGTTTGAGCCACGTAAGGACTCCTAGCCTGCTACAAGAAGCGATTAAAAGGGCCCATTTACAATGCACAGAAACATACTGGAAGAATCAGGGCTCTTGGCATGCACTGTCAGCTACACATGTCCACAAATTCTGAGTGTCAGCAAGGAAGAGAGCTATTCTCTGAGAATTTAGTTGGTTCTCAAAGGGGATGTTGGAAAGGCTGTGTATGCTTGCAACCTTTTGTTATGTAGATGGAACTCTGAGGAACCCTTGGAACCACTAGGGAACATCTAGATTTTGGGAAAATAATTGGCTATGGATTTTCTCCACAAAAATGTCAGTGTATAATGGTTGGGAAAATGTAATACCCTCAAGTGAGGCAAATTTTTTCCCTAACTTTGGGCCCACTCACATTATGCCCCTAGGGCTTCCATTGGACCTACAGCTTTATTCAGCAAAGAAAATGGGTCTCTTGATACTAAGTTGGTAAGATGGATACCTTCAGGTACATAGACTATTAAGGGGGTTCTGCGCAAGCAGAAGATGGCAGTCCGCTCATTGTGTGGACTTCATATTTGGCTATTCCATTTTGCAGGCTTAATTATGATACATTCTCACAAACTGTGGCAACAAGAGGACTCCATGTTCCCTAATGAATGTTCTGAGCTTTGCTCTCAAATAATAGTCTTTAGTACAAAAGCACGTGGGCGTTTATTTTTCCAAGGTAGGTAATTTAGTGAGCTTTCAAGTAATCACTGGAGGAGGGTACAATGTGGCTTTCCATAGTTAAAGCCATAAATGGCATTAAATGCAGAATAACAGTTGCTCTTTTTTTGTGTGTGTCAGTCAGAAAGTAACTCAAAGATGAGAAGTGTTGGGGGCAGGGTCCGCTCTCGAAAGCAGAAGAATTTAATTCTCATTCTGATGATCTGAGGCACCTTCCAAACCGTTTTGTTCTTTTCATTGCCTCTCCCCATTTAGTACAGTGCCTCCTCCTTAAGCTTCTGGTTTTGTATGGACCTTTATAACTGAAAGGAATTAGATCTGGAGCAGCCCTGAAGGATCGGGAACAGAAGCCTGGAACACCCTCACTCTGGAAGGGATCCAGTGCTCTCATTTATCTACACCTACCTAAAAGAGTACTTGGAATCAGAAACAGGGCAGCTTGAAGGACGTAACCCACATACACCCAAGCCAGACCTCGACTCAGAAACAGTCACATTCCAACACAGGCCTTAGCTGGTCTATCTTGACTCTTCCTGGACTTCTTTTCACTAATATGTCAATCAGAGTGTCCCTGACTGCCACAGTAACCTCATTCCCCTCCTCCTGCCCTGCGGACTCTCTGGGTGTGAGCAGGCCTGGGGTCTGACCTGGCTGCCCTGCATGAATAGTGCTGACAGATGCTTCCCACCTTTATCAGCCTCATTCCTTATCCTGGAACAGATACTGTGCCAAGACATCTCAGGGTAGAGCCAGTGGGAAAACATTTCCTGGGCAGCATCTGGCTAATTGGCAGGGCATGGTGGACATGGGGCAGTCTCAGATGAATTCAGTGCTTCTCAGTTGCCTGGAGCATCAGAGCTCACCACTGTAGTTGATCTGACACCATATGATGGGAGAAGTGGGGAACTCTGAGCTCCAGTTTCATGTAATCCAGACCGAAGTCGGAGGTGGATTTGGCATCCTATACTTTTTCTATTTCCTCTGGACCTAAATACACTTTGTGCTTTGTATGTGTGTGTGTTCTACAGCTTTTCTTAATGTCTACTGTTAGGCTGTGGAAAAAAAGGTGCTTTGCAATATCAACCAGAGTGATGTCAGAAAAAAAACTGTCACAAGAATGAAACCATGAGATGGTGTTATCATGAGTATGTCTCATCTCAAACCCAAACAACACTGATACATTATGATGTGCTTATTTGCTTTGTAAAATCATTTGGTTGTTTATAGAAAATCAAAAAACAAAATAAAACAAAACCTATTGCCATGGAGTCAGTTCTAACTCATAGTGACCCTACAGGAGACAACAGAATTGCCTATAGCATTTCCAAGGCTATAAATCTTTACTGAAATAAACTGCCACATCCTTCTGCAATGGAGTGACTGGTGGGTTCAAACCACTGACCTTTTGGTTAGCAGCTGAGCTCTTAACCACTACACCACCAGGGCTCCTGGTTTTTACAAAGGAATTGGGTATTATCCTTTTATGGAACATGAAAGCTATAGACTTTCTCTCTAGAAAACTGCAGACTGCATGCAAGTTTTAAACAATTCTCGTAGCTGAGTCAGAAGCCCCTGAAAGGACATTCCTGGGTCCTCAGATGAACCTGGGTCCCAGTTAGGAATCTGCATTTGAGAGCCATTTCACCTGGGTCACTTGATAAGGGATTTCATTTCTTTTTGCTGTTTATAAATAATCAAGACTATAATGATCACACAGGCAATGCACACAGGACTGCACCAAGTAAGACTTTCTGGAAATTGAGTGGAAATTTGCTTTTCATGTTTAGCTTTTTCACTTTACATTGTTAACAAGAAAAATGAATGTACCTCTCCACTCCGCTCAGTTTCCATTTGTGTTTCCGGGATACCAGTAATCCTCCGCCCCAAGCTGCCTGAAGAAGGAAGATCACATAAGGAAAAAGGTCACAGTTTTTCATTGACTAGATTTCTATGATTTGGTGTCTCCTGGAACAGAGAGTGTCTTGCAGGGTGAAAATTATTTCCTTGACCCTAGGCAATTTAGGGGGTTGGTTACCTTCTTCTCATGTTACACCTCCTAAATTTAAATTGGAGGACTATCCTGAAGTCTCAGTTTCCATCTCACATCTATATGAGTGTAAGGAGACATACTGGGGACACATATACTCAGTCTACAAGAGAAGGAGAAAATCTCCCCAACTCACCACTATTACCATTAATCCCAGTAAAGCTCATGTTCTCAGAATGAAAAATCTTGTATCCTCCACAGTTAAGGGTAAAGAAGATGGGCTGGGGACCTATTAAACAGTTTCCAAGTTGAAAGGAAAACCTTTGTGAGAAGTCTGGATGATTCCAGAGGAAGAGAACAGCTTAATAACCCTATTTTACTGATGTGTAACTTGGGGCATGATAATTTCTCTGTCCAAAAAAAGCAAACAGGAAAGATTTATGTTAGTTAGTTAGTTGAGGAATTAGAACACACTCCTTAAAAAATCTGTACTCAAGTTTGAAGATTTGAATTGGTGTAGTAATACCCTCTGAAACCAGGATATCCAGATGGAGACTAATTTGAAAATGTTGACATTATTCTGTGTGTGAAATTAATCCTGGGATATTTTTAAAACAAAGAAACAAACTGTTAAGGTGTAAGTGTTGTTTTCTTTGTTGTAGTTTCAATTGTTTTACACTTTGAAATGTTATACAGTTTTTGAAATGTGCAATATTTTAAGATTATTTTCTAATTTAATTATAGAATGTATAAACATTAAACATTGAAGCTATAAGAATAAATGATAAAGTTGATGTTTCAAAGAAAAGTTAATACGATAAAGATTCCCCAGCTCTAATTTAAGTAGGAAGCCTGGAGGAGAGATCACAACATCTCTTGGCACAGGACACATAAACATTCTTATTTTCAACATTGTTAGGGTAATCAGCTCCCTGCATCAGCTAGCAAGGTTTAGCAGGCTTTCCAGGTCTGAGACCTTGGTCACAAGTGGTACTTGAGTCATTCAACCTTTTGGGTCCTCATTGAACACTGAGTCCTCAGTGTTTTCGTGTGTAAAAGCAAAGTGTCTGGTAGCCTAATGAACAATTTACACTATTTATCAGGGACGGAAAAGAAGATAGATAATTGCTATGTAGCATAACTCTGGCATAATAGAAATTTACCTAGCTTAACCTACAGAAATTTTCTGCTTCTCAAGAGAGGGGAATTAATTTGGCTTGAGTACTTATTACAAAGCTGAAATCATCTAAGCTAGTGCTACTCAAAGTGCTAGCCCACAACAACATAAGGATCTTGTACCCAAATGCAAATCAATTTATGGCTTCCTTCACTGAGAAAGCCTTGCAATGAAAAAAAAAAAAAAAAAAAACAGCTAAACCAGACACTGTGCTTAATAATTATTGGGCAAAAGCTTCTTATCCCATCAAAGATTAACAAATAGTTTGCAGATGGCAGCTGATATTTGAAACATAAAGTAATGCTGATCTAAACTTAAATATAGTCATTCAATTCATTCTTCTAAAATCTTTTTTTATTATTTGAAAATGTTTTGGTGGGTACACCTTCATTATTTTTTAATATGACTAAGCCTGGAGTCAAAACATCTCAAATATAATTTATCTTCTTAGCTGATCAAGCTCCTTGATAATTTGGTCCAGATTTCCTAGCAAGTTGTCAAGTCTGCTTTCCTGTTTAAACATATGAATACCCGACTTGAGCCTGAGATTTTTTTTCAATATATTTTATTGAAATATAATTTATGTACAGTGAAATACTCAAAACTAAAGTTTGACATGGGCCAATGCATTTTTTTTCAGTGTCCCCTGGCGACCAACAAAGAAAATTTCCTTCCGTATATAAACCTTTCCTTGACTATTTACAATAATTATGTTGTTACGTTGTTCCGTGCCGTCGAGTCGGACCCGACTCATAGCGACCCCTCCTTGGGTTTCCAAGGCAGTATCACGGAAGTAGATTGCCCCATCTTCCTTCCGAGGAGTGGCTGGTGTAATTAAGTAATACTATATTTGTCCTTCTGTGATTGACTTATTTCACTCAGCATAATGTTCTCCAAGTTCATCCATGTTATGCAGTGTTCTACAGATTCTACATTATTCTTCAGTGCTGCACAGTACTCCATGTATGTATGCACCATAGTTTGGTTATCCATTCTTCTGTTGATGGACACCTAGTTTGTTTCCACCTTTTTGCTATTGTAAATAGTGCTGCAATGAACATAGGTGTACATATATCTGTTCTTGTCCTGGCTCTCAATTCTTTAGGATATATAGCTAGTAATGAAATTGCTGGGTTAAATGGTATTTTTAATTCCAGCATTTTATGGAATCAGCATACTGCTTTCCACACTGATTGTATCATTTTACAGTCCCATCAGCAGTGTATGAGAGTCCCAATGTCTCCACATCCTCACCAGCATTTGTTATTTTCTGTCTTATTGAACTCTGCCATTAGTGCTGGGGTGAGATGGTATCTCGTTGTTTTGATTTGCATCTCTCTGAGGGCCAATGATCATGAGCATATCTTCATGTATTTACTGGCTGCCTGAATATCTTTGGTAAAGTGTCTATTCATGTCTTCTGCCCATTTTTTCCTTGGATTGTTAATTCTTTTAGTGTTCTCTATAAATCTTAGAAATAAGTCCCTTGTCAGATATGTAATTATCGACAAGTATGAATTTGTTGCTGTCATTTTGTTATGTGCTTTTTCATGGTGTCCCTGATTTCTTTGTCCCATATAATGTTCTGTGCTGAGCTCATTTTGTTTATGAATCACGTTATCACTTCCTTCATTGCTATTGTTTTAGTATTTGCTAAATATTTGTGCTGGTCTTCTTTTTTATTTTGATGTGAAGGTTTATCATTTTTCTTTGAGGTTACCCTGTGATTTATAATTTTCTTTCCAGGTTTAGAACAGTCCATTCTACCTCGCAGTTGTCCTGACTTCCCTACTGTTTAGAAGTTCTGTAATTACACAATTTTTTTCCTCTTTTCAGTGTGTAGTATTCATTTGTCAATTGATGTCTCTGGTTCCCTGTTTAAAATCTTATATTCTTATTTACTTTGGATACTTCCATAACTGGTTTGGTTTCTGGGTTATGTCATCATGTATGTTACTGGTTGGTTGTTATTTGCTGTTGTTGCTTCTCTGTCCACAGGACTCTCTTTAGCATCTCTTATAAGGTTGGTTTGGTTTTAACAAATTCCCCAGTTTCTGCTTATCTGGAAATGTCCTAATTTCACCATCATATTTGAGGGACAGTTTTGTTGGGTATATAATTCTTGGTTGGAAATTTTTCTCTTTCAGGGTTTTGTAGGTACCATCCCATTGTCTTCTCACCTGCATGGTTTCTGCTGAGAAATCCTAGCTTAGCCTTATTGGTTGCCCCTTGTAGGTAACTTTTTGTTTTTCCCATGCTGCTTTCAGGATTCTTTCTTTGTCTTTGGTTTTGTTGACTTTGATGATGATATGTCTGGGTGATTTTTTTTGGGGGGGGTCTATCCTGTTTGGGGTTCATTGGACTTCTTGAATGGATATATTCTTATCTTCCATTATACCAGGAAAATTATCTTCCAACAAATCTTCAACAATTTTCTCTGTGGCTTTGTCTCTTCCTATTCTGGAATTCCGATTACATGTAGGTTATTCCTTTTGATGGTATCCCACATGAAACTTAGGCTTTCTTCATTTTGTTTTGATCTTTTTTCTGATTGGAAAGCGATCAAAGAAGTATTCAGGTATTTGTCTTCAATCACACTAATTCTGTCTTCCACTGATTCAATTCTACTCCTTTGTCCGTTCAATGTTATCTATTCCTGATAAGTTAGTATTAATTTTCTGGATTTCTGTGTGTAGATTTTGTATCATTTCTAATTTTTCCCTTATTTTGTCATTTTGTTCTTGTATCGTCTTCCAAAATTGTTCTAGGGTTTTCTCTGTGTCTTCCTCAGTTTTGTCAGTGTTTTTCTTGATCTGTCTCTCAATCCATTGAAGATACCTAAATATAATTCTTTTGATTTCCTTATCAGGGAGTTCCAATACTGCTTCTTCCTCAGGGATGTTTTGTGTCTGCATCCTGGTCCTTTATTTCTCTTGCTTTATCTTGCTTCTTCATGTGGACTGTGATGCTCCATTGTCTCCAGGATATTGTGATACTTTTGTGTTTATATTTAATTGGTAATTGTATATTGGAGTGACTTGCCCATGATTTTTGTTTTCTTTGTTTTGTTTAGAAGTTATCTATGAAAGCTGGGTATTATGCACCTCTATTCACTAGTTGGCAGCACTTATACACTCAGTACCTGTTTCCTTTTCCATTGTCAGCCTCCCATATGTCCCTGCCACCGTTGGCAAATGGAGCCTATTCTTAGGTCCCTGGAATCTGAATGAGAATGCTTTCACTTTAAAATCCAATATGGCCATTGCTTGTAAACATTCAAAATGGTTGCACCCTTGGTCACTTTTAATATCCAAAATGGCTACCGCTTGTAAACATTCAAAATGGCTGTGCCCTCAGTCACTTTAAATATCCAAAATGGCTGCACTTTCCAGACTGTTGAGAGTCTACAGCTCAGGTTGTCTCTCTCCTTGCAGTTTCTCTTCCTAGTCATAGGCCACCAGCACAGTCATCTCTGCAACCTTTGGTGACCAGGGCTGATCTTCAGGTCAATTCTCAAGTCCCAACACCATTTGAAAATATTCAAGCTTTTGGTCCTGTCAGAGTAGCTGACAGTCTACTGCTCCAATCATCTCCATACTCACTGTTTTCTTACAGGTTTTTCCACTAGTTGGAATCTACTTCTGTATACTTCCTTTCAAAGCTCAGGGCTCCAGGATTACCTTCTGTATCTCTGTCAACTGGTTTCTCTTTTCTTTGGTGAAGAGGGTCTGTGTAGCTTGTCCATCTATTCTGCCATCTTATCGGAAGTCCTGAGCCTGAGATTTTTATCTTCTAAGTTTCCAAAATAAATACATCTTCTTTTGACTCTTTTGATCACTCCCGAAAGTAGGTATTATCTGCAGATGTATGAATGTGTGTGTATATATATAGGCTGTACTCCTTCATGGTTATTTATGGCTCAGTGAGTTGAGAATGAAGTGCATAGCTTATATGCTAGTCCTAGAAATAAAAATATCATCATGTTGGGGACATTAAGGCATATTCAGCCTCCAGCTGCCTGTGAATGCTGTGTACTATGCAAGTTGTGTTCTACATTGTCTCAGCAATCCTTAAAAGCTTAAATATCACAATTCTGAAAATAAGCTCATAAAGTATAATTTTAAAAAATTCATTCTAGAGCCTCAGGTAAAAAATGTGCAAGAAGAGTTTAATGGCCAGCCCCTAATAGGATACTTACATCCACATGCATCCAGATCTTATATTTCTTGCAAATGTCAGCAACAGCTAAGAGGGGATCAAATGCTCCATACACAGTAGTTCCAGCAGTGGCACTCACAAGGAAAGGAACAAATCCCTACACAAAACAGAAATCCCTATGTAAAACAGTGGTTCAAAGATTCTTTTAAAAATATGATGAAAGCAATGGAAATTCTCCTACCATAAGCATATGTAGTTTTGGAACAGTTCAAAAGTTTACTAACACCTTGGAGCCTAAATGGTACAAATGGTTTGTATTCAACTGCTAACCTAAAAGGAGATCTGGTGGCATAATGCCTAAGGTATTTCACTGCTAACCAGAAGGCTGGTGGTTCAAACCCACCAGCCTCTCCTCAGAAGGAAGGTTGGCAATCTACTTCCATAGTGATACCACCTCAGAAACCCAAGGGGGTGTCGCTATGAGTCTGATCTGACTTGACGGCAGTGAGTTTGGTTTTTTGTTTGTTTGTTTTGCGAACCTAAAGGTTGAAGGTTTAAACCTACCCAGAGAGGGTACCATAGAAAATGGCTTGACAATCTGCTTCCATTAAGATTACATCCAAGAATACTCTCTGGGGCAGCTCTACTCTGCAACACATGGGGTTGCCATGAGTCAAAATAGACTTGAAAGCACAATGGTTTGGTTTTTTGTCTGAAAGCTTGGCAGAATGTATGTACCTTCTAGGAGCTGAGTTCTCTAGTCCATTTTGGTGGCTTGCCAGTGCCTTATAAGAATATACACTGGGGTTCTCAGAAGAGGCTATACCAAACTCATAGGTGAGTAAGCTTTATATATTCTAGGTAGCTTCATTTGTATATTCTAGGTACCTTCCTGGGAGCTCTGGTAGCATAGTGCCTAAGGCACTTGACTGCTAACCAGAAGGCTGGCGGTTCAAACCCACCAGCCACTCCTCAGAAGGAAGACAGGGCAATATACTTCTGTAGTGATACTGCCTCGGAAACCCAAGGGGGGGTTGCTATGAGTCAGGTCTGACTCGACGGCACATAACAACAACAACAATAAGTACCTTCCTGGCCTTTTCTCCCCCCTCCCCTCCCCATTTTGTAAAATTTCTAGTCACCCTTATTCATAAACAAGGAGCTCTGGTGGCAGAGTGCCTAAAGCATTTGACTGCTAACCAGAAGGCTGGCGGTTCAAACCCACCAGCCACTCCATGGAAGGAAGACTTGGCAATCTACTTCTGTAAAGATTTACTGCCTCAGAACCCTAGTGTGGGTTGCTATGAGCCAGAATTGACTCAATGACAGTGAGTTTGGTTTGTTGTTTATTCAAAACAGAGAATCTGAGCTTAATAAATACCCTATAATGAACAAGCAAGAAAACAAAAAGGAAGAACTCTGACCAGACTATTATTATTATTTGGAAAATTTGATAATTTATTTGGAGTTCATGAGGAGGGTTTACATGGGGCTATATTATTAGCAATAGCTTCTATCGTTCTGTGTTGCAAACCCAGTGATAATTGCTATGAGTTGGAATTGACTTATTGGCAGTGGGACTGTTTTTTTGGGTTCTATCGTATCTCTGGTAGCGTAGTGCCTAAGGCACTTAACAACTAACCAGAAGGCTGGTGGTTCAAATGCATTAGCCACTCCTCGGAAGGAAGATGGGGCAATCTACTTCCATAGTGAAACTGCCTCAGAAACCTAAGGAGGGGTTGCTGTGAGTCGGGTCCAACTCGACAGCACATAACAACAACAATAACAACATCCTTCTAAGGAGTCTTCAGTCTGTCTGGTCATGGCTAAATGAAAATTGATTGACATAATAGGCTGCTGCTAAAAGAAGGCAGAATAACTCCATAAATGATAATTATGGCATGACTCAGAATGCAACATGATGATGTTACAGCATGTGTCTTTAGGTGGCAGCAAAGGTTTAATCTTGTGGTTTATTTTACTAGAAGTAGGCATTTGAGTGCTAACCAGAAGGCTGGCGGTTCAAACCTACCAGTCACTCCTCAGAGGGAAGGTTGGGCAATCTACTTCCATAGTGATACTGCCTCAGAAACCCAAGGAGGGGTTGTGTGAGTTGGATCTGACTCGACAGCAGTGAGTTTGAGTAGAGTCCTAGTATAAAAATCAGGGAAACTTTCTCCTATTGTCACTATTATAGAAAAATGGCATATGGAAATATTCCTGAGTTCATAATAATAAAATTCATGTGTTATGCCATTGAACTAGGACCTGTAGGTTGTATCTACTAAAAGGGAAACCAAGAGTGTTCTAAAAACAAATGCTCTGGCTTGTGAGACATCCAGGGATATAAATATGAGTTCTTGGAGTTTTGAGGGAATCTTTGACAGGTCTTCAGAAGTTATTACTTCTAAAAAGAATTCAAATTGCTTCCTGCAAAGTAAGATATTTGGAGAGCCAATCATATCAGAACACATCTAGGCAGGAAAAAGTGGTTGCTTTTTGTGGTAGTTAAGATTGTGTGTCAACTGGGCTGGGCCTGGTTGAGTGGCTGGGCAGCTGGATGTAGTATTCCCCATGATGAGATTGGTAATCAACTCCATGGTGGAATCCACTGGAGCAGCTAAGTGGCTGCTTTAGGGATGTGATCTGCTTCCAGTATATAAGAAGCAACTTTGAGGAAGGTCTCTAGCATTTTGGGATGCTTGGACCCTGCCTGTAGACAGAGTGTCATGCTCTGCTAATCTTCGGACTTTTAATGGATAAGTGGCCTACCATGTGGTTTGATAATATCAGAACTGTGCCTCACTTGTCAACCTTGGGTTTGTGAGCCTCAGCAGCTTCCTGAGTGAAGAGATGCCTCTAGCTTCAGTGGGCCAGGAACAAGGGGCAGAGCTGAAGCCCAAGGTCAAGGGGCTTTCACCCAGCCCCAAGAGCCTGGCACTTGGAACTTGGACTTCTAACCTCCAAAAGTGTAAAAGAATAAACTCCTGTTTGGTAAAGTCACCAATTTGTGGTATATTCCTGTCCAAGCAGCACCAGGTAACCAAAACACTTTTTAAAAAACTATACATTAGTCAGTAGCTCTGGTAATGTAGTGCCTAAGGCATTTGACTGTTAACCAGAAGGTTGGCAGTTCAAACCCACCAGCCACTCCTTGGAAGGAAGATTGGGCAATCCACTTCCATGGTGATACAGCCTCAGACACCCAAGGAGGGGTTGCTATGAGTCAGGTCTGACTGGACAGCAGTGAATTATACATTAGGGACTCACAAGCTGCATTAGCATTAGGGTATTTGCCACCTGTGAAAATTATCTTTTAAATGTGTGTCTGTGTTTAATGCTAACCCTCAGCACATAATAAGGAAGACAAATGTTTTAGAAACTCATATAATATTTCTGTATATATTATTTATTCAGCAGGGTAGACCTTTCCAAAGCAGAGCCTGTCACTCAGAGAAATAAATAATAGGACGACAAACTCCATGTTCTCCTGAAAGGTGGGAGATAGAGGTCCAGGCACTATTCTTCAAAATAAACCCAAAGTGCATTTCACTATTGGCAGGAACTCTGGTAGCATAGTGCCTAAGGCATTTGACTGCTAACCAAAAGGCTAGCTAGGGAGTCAAACCCACCAGCCACTACTCAGAAGGAAGGTTAGGCAATCTACTTCCATAGTGATACTGCCTTGGAAACCCAAGGAGGGGTCGCTATGAGTCAGGTCTAACACGAAGGCACGTAACAACAACAACAACAGGAAATAGTAGCTTGTTATGGGCTGGATAAAGTTCCCCTCCCTCCACTTACTTTTTGTTTGGCTTCAAGGATCCTTCTTTCAAGATCAGATGGCATCATTTTCCCTCTAAAAGGAAAAATAAATATGTTTGTTTTTGTTTTGGATAATTTACTATGAGGCCTTTACAATGTAAGCAGTAACATCAGAGTAAAAGTCCAATCCTGAACAGTTGACAACAATGACCAGTTAAAGCAACTCCTTTGCTATTTCCAGCAAGAAATATATTTACCTTCCTGAATGATGCTTAGCTATAATGTATGGCACGGTTATGAGACTCCTAACCACACTGTGTTGGTATCTTGTTGAACAGCCCAATGCCTCTCTTCTTTGCCCAGAGCCTGTTTTTTAAGTCATACATTTAATTCCATTAAAATTATTCCAAATTGCCTGATTGAAAGATATTTAGCAATGAAAGGGAGAATACTGAAACACAGTTGTATTCTAGATCCTCTAATGAATGTAACTGCAATTTCATATATGGACAAAAAGCCAAAAAGAGATCTGGAAACTCTGCCACCTGATCTTGAAACATCTGAACGAAAATACTAATCAAAAAGGTACCTAAGAGACTTCCAGTAAGATGGAGGAATAGGCAGACAAGCGACACAGACCCTTTTCAACAAAGAAAAGAAAAACCAGTGAACAGGGATACAGAAGATAATCCTGAAGCCCTGAGCTTTGAAAGGAACTATACAGAAATGGATTAGGCACCAACTAGTGGAAAAACCTGAACAAAAACAGTGAGTACAGAGACAGTCAGGGCTGTGCACTGTCAGCTACTCTGATGGGAATATTTCCAAGTAGTGCTGGGACCTGAGAATTGACCTAAAGATCAGCCCTGGTCACCAAGGGTTGCAGGATCTATGACTAGGAAGGGAAACATCAAGGAGGAAGACAACCTGAGCTGTTGACTTTCTGCTGTCCGGAGGGCGCAGCCAGTTTGAATATTTAAAATAATTGAGGACGCAGCCATTTTGGATATTTAAAGTGACCGAGGGTGCAGCTATTTTGAATCTTTACGAGTGGCAACCATTTTGGATTTTAAAGTGATAGCATTCTCATTTGGATTCCAGGGACCTAAGAATAGGCTGTGTTTGCCAAGGTCGGCAGGGACATACAACTTGGCTGATAACAGGAAAGGAGATAGGTGGTGAGTGCACAAGTGCTGTCAACCAGCAAATAGAAGAACACAGTACCCTGTTGTGTAGATAACATACAAACAAAACAAAGAAAATGAAAATCGTGAGCAAGTCACTCCAACATACAATCACCAATTAAATATAAACACAAAAAACCATCACAATGCCTCAAAGACAACAGAGCATCACAGTCCACACAAAGAAGCAAGATAAAGCAGGAGAAACAAGGCACCAGGATACAGACCCAAAACACATCCCTGAGGAAGATGCTGCATTGGAACTCCCAGATAAGGAATTCAAAAGGATTATATTTAGGTATCTTCAACGAATTGAGAGACAGATCAAGGAAAACACAGACAACATCCTAGAACAATTTCAGAAGATAATACAAGAACAAAACGACAAAATAAATGAAAAATTAGAAATGATACAAAATCTACATACAGAAATCCAGAAGATTAATACTAAATTTTCAGAAATAGAGAAGGCATTGAATGGGCAAAGGAGCAGAATTGAATCAATGGAAGACAGAATTGGGGAGATTAAAGGCAAATATCTGAATACTTCTTTGGAAAGAGAGAAATCAGAAAAAATAGATCAAAACAAAATGGAGAAAGCCTAAAGTTCACGTGGGATACCATCAAAAGGAATAACCTACGTGTAATCGGAATTCCAGAATAGGAAGAGACAAATAAAACCACAGAGAAAATTGTCAAAGATCTGTTGGAAGAGAATTTTATGGATACGATGAAAGATAAGAATATAATTCAGAACGTCCAGTGAACCCAAAACAGGATAGACCCCAAAAGAAAATCACCCAGACATATCATCATCAAACTTAGCAAAACCAAAGACAAAGAAAGAATCATGAGAGCAGCATGGGAAAAAAAAAGTTACCTACAAGGGGCAACCAATAAGACTAAGCTCAGATTTCTTGACAGAAACCATGCAGGCGAGAAGACAGTGGGATGGTATTCATAAAACCCTGAAAGAGAAAAATCTCCAACCAAGAATCATGTATGCAGCAAAACTGTCCCTCAAATATGATGGTGAAATTAAGACTTTTCCAGATAAGCAGAAATTAAGGCAGTTTTTTAAAACCAAACCAACCTTACAAGAGATGCTAAAGGGAGCCCTTTGGACAGAGAAGCAACAACAGCCAACAACAACTGACCATTAACACACATGATGACATAACCCAGAAACCAACCCAGCTATGGAAGTATCCAAAGTAAATAAGCCCACAAGATTGTAAACAGGGAACCAGAGACATCAATTGACAAATGAGGACAACTACAAATCAAAAAGAGGGAAAAATCTGTTGTTACAAAACTTCTAGATGGTAGGGAGATCAAGACAACTACAAGATAGAAGGGATGTTCTAAACTTGGAAAGGAAACTATAAATCACAGGGTAACCTCAAAGAAAAATGATAACCCTTCACATCAAAAAAGAGAACCTGTATAAATATTCAGCAAATACTAACACAATAGCAATGAAGGAAGTGATAACATGATTCATAAACAAAACGAGCTCAGTATAGAAATTATATGGAACAAAGAAATCGACACCATGAAAAAGCACATAACAAAAATGACAGCAACAAGTTCATATTTGCCGATAATTACATATCTGGGAAGGGACTTATTTCTAAGATTTATAGTGGAAAAGTGGTTGACCAAACTATGATACATACACATAATGGAATACTATGCAGCACTAAAGAATAATGTAGAGTCTTCAAAACACCCTATAATATGGATGAACTTGGAAGACATTATGCTGAGTGAAATAAGTCAATCACAGAAGAACAAATATAGTATTAGTTTGTTGTTGTGGAGGGTCAAGGAAAGGTTTGTATATGGAGGAAAACTTTCTTTGTTGGTTGCCAGGGGTGGGAGAGGAGGGAATACTGAAATGCATTGACCCATGTCACTTTAGTTTTGTGTATTTCACTGTACATAAATTATATTTCAATAAAATGCATTTACATTTTTTTTTTTTTTAAAAAAAGGTACCTAACTACATTCCTAAAGGCTAAAAGCAAGAAATAGGCCAAGAACTCATGGGTTCACATTCAAAGAGTTAGATAGACTGGCATCCTAAAAACAAATATTCTTTCATGCCCCAAATGTTTCTTTCTTAAACTCTTATTAAGTGTTGGTAGTTGCCATCAAGTTGGCTCTAATTCATGGCAACCCCATGCAGAACAGAACAAAACATTGCCCACTTCTAGAATTGACTGCTAACCAGAAGGTTGGCAGTTCAAACCTACCAGCTGCTCCATGAACAGAAGACTGGGCAATCTACTTCTGTAAAGATTTACTGCCTCAGAAACCCAAAGGGGGTAACTATGAGTTGGAATCGACTGTGACAGTGAGTTTGGTTTTGTATCTTCACAATAGCCAAGATGTTCAAGTCCATTGTTACAGTCACTATATATTTTGAGTGCTTTCCCACCTAAGGGGACTATTTCCGAGCACTCTATCTGACGATATTCTGTTGTGATCCACAGGGTTTTCATTGGCTGATTTGTTAAAGAAGAGCACCACACCATATTCCTAGACTGTCTTATCTGGAAACTCTACTGAAACCTGTTCACCACGGATGACTCTGCTGATATTTGAAATATCAGTGGCATAGTTTCCAGCATTACAGCAACATGGAAGCCACCACAGTATGGCAAACTGACATACTGTTTGTTGAACAAACTGAATGTTGAACAAAAACTCCTACTATTATAATAATCAGAGATATTAATTTCTACCAAAAATAACTGTTGTTTGTAGAAAAGTGGCTAGTTAAGATTGCTAGATACGTGACTTGGTCAAGTTACTTAACTTCCATACTGCTAACCAGAAGTTTGGCAGTCCAAACCCACCAGCCACTCCGCAGAAGGAAGATGGAGCAATCTACCTTTATAAATATTTACCACCTTGGAAACCCAATGAGAGTCACTATGAGTCAGAACTGGCTTGATGGCAGTGAGTTTGGATTTTGGTTTATTTTCCCTGAAAAACAGGTATAATAATGTTAATTATAAAGTTATTGTTGTTGTTATGTGCCATCGATTTAGACCAGACTCATAGCGACCCCTCCTTGAGTTTCCAAGGCAGTATCACTTCGGAAGTAGATTGTCCCATCTTCCTTCCAAGGAGTGGCTGGTGGGTTTGAACCGCCAGCCTTCTGGTTAGCGGCCAAGTGCCTTAGGCACTATGCTACCAGAGCTTCCATGAAGTTATTATGAGGGCTAAATATATTTATAAATGCAAAATGATTTTAAAAGTACTTGGCATATGGTAAGCACTCAATAAATGTTAGGTTTTATTGTTGGGACTGTTATTAGACATTGTGACTTTGTAATATCTTCATCCCAAGGCTTGGGGGAAAAATAGGAAAGGATAGACAGGGTAGTTGCATGGCACTGGGTGTTACTGTTAATCATTGTTAAGTCAATCTGACTCATGATGACAGCATGCGTGCAGAATGGAACTGCTCCATAGGGTTCTCAAGGCGGTGACCTTTCAGAAGCACATCACCAGTCCTGTCTCTCAAGGTACCTCTGGGTGGGTTATAACTGCCAACTTTTTAGCCAGTAGTTGAGTGCTTAACCATTTGTGCCATCCAGTGAAAAATTCTTTAAATCAAAACAGCTCTCTTACGGTAAAAAAAAAAAAAAAAATCAGTAGTTGCAGGGATTCAGGGGGAGAAGGAAAAAGATGAATAGGTGGAGCATACTTCATTTTTAGGGCAGTGAAACTACTCTGTATGATACTGGAATGAATGGTGGACACATGACATTATGTATTTGTCAAAATCCATAGGACTAAACAATACAAAGAGTGAGCCCTAATGTAAACTAATAATAATAGTAATGCATCAATATCGGTTCCTCAGTTGTAACAAACCTACCACACAAATGCATGA